GCCGCTATGTGGGAGTTTCTCGTCCGGAATGACGTCACAATCTTTCGGAATACTGGTGGCATTAATATAAAAGTACATCTTCGACGTGATAACAGGTATTCATTTCAGTTTAATAAATATAAATTTCACAATTTAAACGTGAGGTTTCTATTGACAGATTGAATAAAATTGGAACTCCATGCTCTTTGATTGGCTAAGTTTGATTCAAATTTATAAGTATGTATAAAAATGAAGGGAATGCTTTTGTTGCGCCGCGAGTAACGCACCTGTGCAATCAACACCACTGCCTTCAAAACCAGAGTTGCAGGTGCATTTGTAGAAACCAAGAGTATTTTCACACTCAGCATTCCTGTCACATGGTGGCGGTATAACCAAACACTCGTCATCATCTATAAGTGAATAGGATATAATTAGAAATGCTAAGTTGGAATCATTGTTTTTTTTTCTCTCTTGATTTAGAGCTGCATTCAGAATGAATAGATCTATCGATGCCATGTATGAATATCGTACCTGTACAGTTATATCCATTTCCTGAAAATCCTGTTTTACAAGTGCAATTATAACTTCCTTGAGTGTTAGTACATATCGCATCTGTATGACATTTGTGTATACCTTGATCGCATTCGTTGACATCTATAAATAAAATAAATAACTTTAATATACTGAACTACTATATTATTGAACGCTAAATATACAAAATCTGTAACTTATTATAGTACTTGTAACCATGACGATTTCAAACGTGATTGAGTATTGTTATTGTCAAGGCCGTCGCTGATTGGCTGCTGAGCTGCAAAGACAATTTTTGGTTTCAAATACCCCAGAAAAGTGTTCTATGTTCTTCGTGTAATTAGGTGTTCGTATTTAAGGAATTTTTCCACACAAAACGACGAATTCGGCCGAATTTTGTAATCGGTTGGCTAAATATAACCCTAAAGAATCGTATTTTTGTGAAAGATTGGTATTTTTGTTCTGATTTTTAGAACTCTGAAAAACGCGTTTCACAACTTGTCTCTTATTTGGTTTTATGCCGCATTCAAGATGGCGGCCCCCATATAGTAAATATCGCATATATTTTATTATCACGCGTGCACCAGCTGACTGTGGTTATGACTCAACTGTTGGAAAGCAAAACACAATTTAAATTTGGTATAAACCAAACGGGTCTCTAGTGATGTCAAACAATTATAATCAATTACAGCATACCACTCTAGTAATAACTGTAAACAATATGGTAAATGAAATAAGAATACTCCCTTTGTGAAAATGGCCGCACCAAAACACACAATATTGATAACATTCTCGCTAATAGTGGTCCGAGATTGTGGGATCAGACCAATGTTTAACCTCCTACCTACGTTAGAATTTCGTTTGCATGATGGAAATGCAACTACTATAAAAATAGGCTGTGAATACAGGTTCAGTGGGCACGCCGGTTATGAAGGGACTTCGGCAGTCACAATACAGCAGGTCTTTTAAAAAAAAGATGTACGCGTCCACAGAAACGTTGTTACATTGACAGTCGTTGCAACGATAGCAGTAACTGGTTGTTTGTTCTTGCTGTACAACCATATGATGTCACATTCCATACCCTTGTATGAAACCGGAAGTCAAATGTGTTCACATCCGTGACATAAGTAAATTTGAAAACCTAACTTAATAAATATTATTAACATGATCACTGATTATTGTAAATGTTTGTATACTAACCTATACATGTTTTACCATCAGGCTGGAGTTCGTATCCTTCATAACAGCTACATTGGTAACTTTCAAGTGTGTTAGTGCAAGTGTGGTCACATGGTGATCCCTCGACACACTCATCCACATCTGTTTGAAGTAACAAAACGTGTAAATGCTCCATTCGCTTTTATTCAACACAATCAATTTCCTTACGATTAAAGCAAAGAATATAATTATTTGTCGGACATGGCGATTGCACAACGTATAGTTCTATATAGTATGCCACTTCCTGGGAGTGGCACCAACGCCATTTCAAGGTCTGTTTCCAATTACAAATATGCAACCCCTAAATGAGAAACACTCATATGAGCCTATAATATATATAAATGGTCTATCCAAATCATAAATATCATACATATTTGATGTAAGTGAAAGTACCGCTACACATGCTATTTTATGGTATTAAATAATATAATTCTTAAAGTTGCTATCAACTTAATTTCAATAAAGGTTTTCCACCAAAGCGTTATGGCAATGCCACACAAGTTCTTTCATTTATATCTTAAACTAATCGGTGTATTTACCGTAACACTTGATACCATCTCCTGTTAGACCCAGTGTACAACTACCACATGTAAACCCTCTATTTACCTTAACACTTGATACCATCTCTGTT